AGCAATTAAAAGCCCCCTTTTAGCTGCCCTAATTAACATGCCCAATCAAAACAAACCAATTTGGGGTTGAAGAGATAGCTCAGAAGTTAAGATCACTGGATGCTCTTCCAGAGGTCCTGAATTCAATTCCCAGCAACCACATAGTGGCTTGCAACCATCTGTAATGAGATCTGATACCCACTTTTGGCAAGCAGGCATACATGCAGACATAATAATGTATACATAATAAATCTTTAAAAACAAAAAAACAGGGCTGGAGAGATGCCTCAGTGGTTAAGAGCACTGCCTGCTCTTCCAGAGGTCCTGAGTTCAATTCCCAGCAACCACGTGGTGGCTCACAACCATCTCAAATGAGATCTGGCGCCCTCTTCTGGCCCTCAAGCACACATGCAGGCAGAACACTATACATAATTTTAAAAAATCTTAAAAACAAACAAACAAAAACAAACAAACAAACTCATCTGTAAGTGTGAATGTTACAGATCTGGAGCTGCAAAGGTATCCTGAGTTATTGGGAAGCCAGGTTATACCTTGAGCCGCAATAGGACAGCTCAGCCCTGGAGGGAAAGGTATCCTGATTTGTCAGGAAGTCAGGCTGAAGGACTGGGTTGCGGTGGGGGATGGTCTCCCTGCAGGACATAGCAATCCTGCTCCTCTTCTAGAAAGAGCCATTACAGCTCTGTTCCCTATGGGACCGTTCTAGCAGAGCTATCTGCTTCTGCTGCAGCCCAAGATGTTACTTGTGCTACACTCTGCTAAAGGGGAAGCCACTGCAGAAATGTAGCCATCTCCTCTGGCTCCAGTGAGAAGTTGTTACTTATTTCTGCTCAGCCTGCTAAGGGTTCTTTTGTTCTGTGCTGGTGAGAAGATCTTCACCCAAGACTCTTCTGGGAAAGATTTATTCAGGAAGGAGGAGTCCTGGAAAGTGGCCGCCTCCGCCAGGGTAGTGAAGGACTTGAAAGACTGCCACCCGGACTGACCTGGCAGGGAAACTATATAGGGCTTCTCAGGGCAGAGTTTTCTGGAAGATGTTCCGCTCAGGCATTGGTTAGTTTACTTGGTCAGGGGCAGAGTTGACTCTGGCTCTGGTTTCAATGCCAAACTCTTTCTTTCACTGGCTTTTTTTTTTTTTTTCTCTAGTTTTGGGGCTAGGGCATATTTCTTTCACTAACTCTGGTTCAAAGTGTATTTCATTGGCTATGGTTTCAGAGGCATTTTTTTTTTTCTTTGCTTCTGGGCTCAGGGATAAAGTGTTTCTTTCACTGGCTCTGGGTTCAGAGCCAGAGTAGGTCTCTTTAGGGCTGACCCTTTTCCCTCCATTGTCCTAACATGGGGATTCCGCTTTTACCTTTAGAAACTGCTGTTTGCCTATGGGCTGTAAGGCCCAGGGCTGCTTGCCTACTCTGCTTCCATGACAGGCTCAATAGAGACCAGCCAGAAAGTAGGCCTGACTTTTGGTTTACCCTAAGGCCACACCTGACTCCAGGAAAGACCACCCAGGCACCACCCAGGAACGGACGAATCAGCATCCAAGAGGAAACTACCTAATGCTCCAAAGGAAATGCCTAACATTCCGACCACTGTAGATAGCATCACTAGCTGTCCCTCAGCCCAGCACACACCCTTCCCTTTTCACTAAGACACCCCTAGACAAATGTCAGTCACTCAGAGGTCCTGAACCTTAGAAACCCTTCACCCTAACCTCGGTTCTGACAAAAACCCCACCCCAATTGAGCTCGAGGCTCTCCAATCATACAGCTGTATCAGGTTACACCGAGGGTCCAAGTTAGAGCTTGAATAAAGACTCTTTACTTTTTTAAAGGCTTTTTTTTAAAAAAAAGCTTTATTTATTTATTATGTATACAGTGTTCTGTCTATATGTTTGCAGGCCCGAAGAGGGTACCAGATCTCATTATAGATGGTTGTGAGCCACCATGTAGTTGCTGGGAATTGAACTCAAGACCTCAGGAAGAGCAGTCCGTGCTCTTAACCTCTGAGCCATCTCTCCAGAACCTAAAGGCTCTTTACTTTTGCATATGGATTTGGACTCTGCAATCTGGGTGTAACAGAGCCACTTCTGTCTCCTCTCTATCCCTCTGGGATAAATATCCCTTCCCTCTCCCCCTTGTTCTTTTCCCCCCTCCCTAATCCTCCAGTTCCTGTCTTTGTCTCCTATTCCCTGCCCACTGTCCCTCTGGAGCAAATAAATCTCCTTTGTGCTGAGAACTTGGTCTTTGGGTGTCTTGTACCAATGCTGGGTCTTTCATATCCTGAGCATCTAAGATGCCAAGAAAGGGGGAGATGTGGAGAGTGGAGAAAGTCCTAGTAAATGAAGTCCCAAGTATATGCTGTAGATATGGACACAGCCATATCAAGACCCAGAGGGAACTGGCAAAGCCTTATCCTCAAGGATGAAGCCCAGAGGGATGGCAAAGCCTTCTCTTCTAGTCCATGTGTGTAGGAAACAGCCATTACAGCTTTCTCTTGGAGGGAGTTTCTGGCCTGTAGATGCTCCGCTGCTGAGACCGCTTCTCCGAAGATTAGCAAACCTGCTTCATGGATTCAGCTGCACAGCATGAACCCCACCTGGTGTTTATCTATATGTGATTGCCGTGCCTCCTTGTCTGGCTGTGTACAGTACCCCACCTCTCTATTCTGCTCTATAATAAACACCCTGAGCTTCCAGAGTGCTGTAGGCTTTCCATCCGAAAACCCAGACTGTCTGATCCCTGCATTTCTGTCTGTCTGTTTTGTCTGTCTGTCTTTTTTTCCACTCCCTGGCTGTTCCTATTTCAAGTCCATCCCTGGAGCTGTGTAAGGATGCAGCACACCAAGACTGTTAAAATTAAGGTATCACCAGACACAGAAATGATTAAGATGGCCAATTGGTAGTGGCGCACACCTATAATCCCAGCACTCGGGAAGCAGAGGCAGGCAGATTTCTATGAGTTTGAGGCCAGTCTGGTCTACAGAGCGAGTTCCAGGACAGCCATGATTGTTATATAGAGAAACCTTGTCTCAGAAAACTAAGAAAAGAAAAGGTTCTGATGCTAAAAATTCCAAAAACCAAAGGGCCATGATGTCTGTGTTCCTTGCCTGACTCCGAATGACCGCAAGGTGTTTGAACACCTCCTAATCTTTGTATGGCCCCAGGAATACCTATCATGCTGTGTTACAAACTAGTTGCAATTCCCATTGTCCTCCCTTGCCCAGTTGGAGAATACTCCCTTAAATTTCCATTGTAACACAAGGCGTAGGCCACAGAAACATATCCCTAACTTAACAAACTCAATCCTCTCCACCAGAACCACTTGGAACTACCCGTAACTGGACAAATTTAGATGTACTGTCTCTTTTTGTCCCCCACCCTCCATAACACAAGAAGGCCAAAATTCGAATGCTGCTGATACTGACTGCGTATGATTGACATGGGTCTTTAGTCACATGTGCTCATGGCCATGTGAGGACATGCAGATTCACGAGCGTGCAAACAGAACCAGAAGGCATGTGGGAAGCAGACTTCGTGGAGACGAGGGCTTAATGTACCTCCAGCCTCCCACAAAAAAGATGAGGTAGAATATTTAAGAAGAGAGCCCCAAAGATGATACAGGGAAGTCGGAGCATAGCTAGCCAAAAAGAATCCTTTACCCCTGAGTGAGTCAGTTTCTTTTAAGAGAAGTCGAGGGCCCTGTGTGACCCAAACGTCATGGGGGCACTTGAAATTTTTTTGTTATGTTTTGTTTTGATTTTTAGAGGCAAGATTTCTCTGTCCTGGACTAGAACTCACAGAGATCCACCTCTGCCTCCCAAGTGCTGGGATTAAAGGCGTGCGCCACCACCACCTAGCTAGCACCTGAATTTTTACATCCCATGCGTAGTGGACACCTTAGAGGCATCTGTTAGAGGTGTGTGGTGGGGAGGCTCGGGAAACAGCTCAGTGGGCAAAGAGCTTGCTGCGCAAGAATGTGATCTGAGTCTGGATCCCCGGCACCTGGTACAGAAAACGAGGCATGGTGGCGTGTGTCTAACTGAAGCCCCAGGGGCAGAGGCGGGCAGATTCTGAGGGCTTTGCTGGCCAACCCGATCTCCAAGATCAGTAGGGAGAAGGTAAGCCAACTTAGACACACATAAGAAATAAATACAAAGAAAGGGCAGCTATGTCCACCTGTGTCCAGGAGTTGGGCTGCCTTCCTCCTGCCGGCCTTTCCATATCCAAGGTCTCAGGAAGCCTTTGACCTTTGACCTTGGGCTTCCTTGTTTATGAAGTCTTTGAGCCTAAGTTACACCGCCAGCATTCGAGGGTCTCCAGGTTGCAGTTTGTCGTGGGACTTCAGTCTCCATAACCACATAAGCCCTATCATGTGTCTCTACCATGGCACCCTGTTCTCTCCAGAGAACCCCAACTAATCCACCTCCAGAAGGATGGTTGGAGCCCAACATCTTTTTTTTTTTTTTTTTATTTATTTATTTATTTATTTATTTATTTATTTATTTATTTATTTATTTATTTATTTATTTATTATTTATGCCCAAGATAGTGTTTCTCTGTGTCTATGTAGCCCTGGCTGCCCTAAAACTTGCTGTCTTTGCTTCCTGAGTGCTAGAGCTAAAGGCATGCACACCACACCTGGCAATGGACTCCCGACACTCTAGAGACATTATCACCCCGGTTTCTGGAACACGCAGCACTTGAACATAGCAAGATCTCACCTCCTTGTTTTCTCTGTCTCCAGGAACAAGTGCCTGAGTGGTGTTGGTACGGTGGGGAGGAGGTGTCTCTGGTAACGCTCAGAAACCAGCTCAATGCTTCAGCTCTTCTCTCATCCTCATTTTTAAAACCTGGGTCTTTATGACTCCATGAAAACCGTATTCTGTACTGATTCCAGAAGCTTCCGAGGCGCGAGCTGCCTCGCCATCACCTCCCTGCGCGCCACAGGCCTTACATAACAAGAGGACTTGAGTAAAAGGCTGCCCTTCACTCCTGAAGTGCTCGTCAAATATTAATCAAACACCTATGGGTGAGTCTCACCTACGAGCACCCACCCCACGCTGGCCTCTTGGAAGCACGTCCACTTGACCACGTTCTCTGGTGTCCTAGCAACCAGAAACTCTGATCTGAGCCCTGACAAGGACATAGGCCATTCCTTGCTGACCGCTGTGACTTGCCACACTGAGCCTCTTGGGACCTGTCCCTGTAGCAATTCAGATAATTGAAGGACATCACTTGTCCCCAAGGACGCCCAGAAGCCCTGCCACGTCAAGCCATCCCCTGGCAGGATGAGCTTCTCGGTCACGTTCGCTGAGCTGGCCAACATAGCCATACCGCAGTGTGGAGTGGTGAACTTCAAGGCCCTTCACCTCCTGATTCAGGGCATCCTGGATCACATCCAAATCGCTGGGCTCAAGAAGGTCCTGTCAGGAGAAGAGGATTTCCTCCAGACCTCACAGGTGGTCCTTATGCCCAGGGAGGGAGATCCCCAGCCCATCCTCAACCCCATGAAGAGGCTCAGCAACATCTTCGACCATGTGGTGGACCGCATCAACAAGATAGAGAGTCAGATATTCGCCATGAAGGGCATGCCCTCTACCACACAGCTGCTGGAGGCCAGCCACGGGACCAACCGGCCCGCCGAGGACCTGTGGAACATGATCAAGCTCGTGAAGAGGGTGGAGGGCAATGAGGAAGCCTTAGCGAAGGTAACTCCCTCCCGGAGAAGTGCTCTAGACCACACCTCTGCTCCTAGACATCTTGTCCTCCCTTCTTTGTGATGGGGGACATATCCACTGATGGAGAGAGCACGGAGTCAGGTGAAAGCTTGGAGTCAGGCAGAAACCAGGATCCTTAGTTGGGAGCTGAGGAGAGAAGCTGTACACAGCAGACAACACAACATAGGATGGATTCCACAGTTGCACATGCCCAGAAGGCTGACTGGCAATTTCCAGGAGCCACAGGGCATGGTAACTTGGTAGATATGGGGCTGGATTCAGGAGCTGTGGAGGTGTTTGAACTGCTGTCAGAATGATGGGTGTTGAACTTTTGTCCTGGGGTCAGAGCCGCTAGGTTGTTTATTTACTTTGGCTAATTTGGGCTGTGAAGACGCTTGATTGAGTAAAACGCTTGCTGTGTAAGCGTGAGGATGGGTCCAGACCCTGAACCATGAAAAAGACAGACCCAGTAAGACCCAGTAGCCTGTCGTTATAATGTCAGCTCTTGCTTTAAATTCCCTCCCTCTCCTCTCTCTCTCTCTCCCTCCCGCCCTCCCATCAGTATGTTTGACTGACGGTGTGTTTGTTTGTGTACACATGTGTGAAGGTACCCTTGGAGGAGAGAAGGTGTCAGATTCCCCTAGTGCTGGGAACAGAACTTAGGACCTCTGTAAGAACAGTCAGTACAGTTCTTAATCGCTGAGACGTCTTTCTAGGCCCAATTCTAATTCAACTACAATGAGACGGGAGGTAAAGACAGGAAAACTCTCAGCAATCAAGGGCCAGCTATCCCGTCATACAGACCAGTAATGAGACTCTGCCTCAAACAGGTGGTAGGGAGAGGTAACATCTGAGGATGACCTTTGGCCCCCATATGCCCAGTACATGTGCGCGCGCACACACACACACACACACCATAGAAAACACACAAAGCTTTTTGTTTTAGCTTTTGTTTTTAGTTTTTTGGCTTTTTGAGACAGGATTTTTCTGCGTAGCTCTGATTGTCCTGGAACTCTCTCTCTGAAGACCAGACTGGCCTCGAACTCACAGAGATTCGCCTGGTTCTGCCTCTGGAGTGCTGGGATTAAAAGTGTGTGCCAGCTGGGCAAGGTGACGTTTGTGAGGGCCAGGTGTAAGGTGCCAGGTCAGGACTGGGAGTGAAGCCATACAGGGCACTGGGAACACTTTTCTTCTATGCTCCACTGGTCTGTGAGGCCTGATGGCTAGAAAAGCCCAATGCCAGAGAGAGGTGCAGAATAACCGTCACCAATGGGAGGGTTCAGACACGGGAAGGGCTCTTCCTACCCCCAGTGTGATCAGAGTCACTAGAACCTCCTCCAGTTTTCTAGCAAGGCTCAGTCAGACGAGAGCCTAGACTGGGCGTCGACCACGGGGGCTGTTGGGAGTGAACTCTTCCACGCTGGAGTCCGGAGAGAGGATTAAGGCAACACCATGCCCTACCTACCATCTCAGTGTCCTGTCTCCTGCCTTTCTGGGGCCTCACACTGTCCCACTGCTTTATCCTCCCTGCCCCTTTGCTCCCTGCCCAGGAAAACTGAGTGCTCACTGTGTACCCCGCGAACCCCACTCTGCCTCTGCTGCACCTCTCAGCTCGGCAGCTAGCAATGAGGCTGAGTTCATGTGTGCAGGAACAGAACAGAGCAGGTGTCCCTGGGCCAGCAGCAGCCTTGTTAGGCTCCACGGCAACACTGCTAGAGATCAGGCTGTCCCTGGTGGCCTGGCCTGGGTGTGGATACAGATGTCAGAAGTGCTAGCCACAGCCTGCCTCCGTGGTCTTTCGGCTCGGTGAATAAAGGCTTCTAGAATCCTCAAGTGCCTGAGTAGCTGAGCAAGGTCACCTGTCCAGCTCTGGAGAGGCCTCGTGGACAGGTTCAGACCTGCCAGCGAAACCCTTGGAGGACTGTTTGTACCAATAAGGCATGTCCCAGTCATTAGAGCAGGCTGCCTTGGACCCAGCCTGATTGAAGTTGTCCAGGGTTACCACAGTGACCCATTGAAAGAGGTTGCCATGGTAGCGGGTGCAAGAACAAGGAGAGCTGCTTAGCTAAGTGTGTGCACACATCAGGCTGTGAGGATGGCAGGCCGGACATCACAGAGATGCTGAGAGTCACCTCCACTGACCCTTCCACCCCCTTTCTTGGGGCTGGTTGGGTTACTGTTCCTCTTAGTAGTTAACCCTTGAAGGGTACAAGGAAAGACGGCTTCTCTCAGTACCCACTCCAGACAGGGCGAATGGTGCCTGGGAAACTAACACGGACCAACACCAGAGGGCTTCTGCTCCACAGTGGCCAAGAGGCCTGGGAGGGTCCAAGGGCTGTGCTATTGGTCAGTACATTTGTCCCACAACAAGTCATTATTAAGCAGAGTTAGATGTAGGGCTTCTCTACCCCAGTACTGTAGACAATGTGGGTAGGATCATTCTTCGTGGCTTAGCGCTGTCCTGTGCATTGGAGGATGCTGAGTGACACCCATAGACACCAGAAACCAGAAGTACTACCTGCTTATAGCAGCTGAAGACACCCCAGACACAGCAGGTGCCCACTGACCCAAGTGGGGGCTGCTGGATTAGAAAACCTGGGCTTTCTGGGCAGTGGTGGTGCACGCCTTTAATCCCAGCACTCAGGAGGCAAGGGTAGGTGGATCTCTGTGAGTTCAAGACCAGTCTAGTCTACAGAATGAGATTCAGCCCAGTTACACACACACACACACACACACACACAAAACCCTGTCTCGAAAAACAAAGAAACAAACAATAAAGAAAGAAGGAAGGAAGGTAGGAAGAAAGAAGGAAAGAAAGAAAGAGAGAGAGAGAGAAAGACAGAAAAAAAGAAAAGAAAACCTGGGCTCCAGGCTGGGTGTAACAGGCCTGTAACCAGAGAACTAGAGAGGCAAGAGGATTACCTCAACTACAAGGTCAGTTTGGTCTACAGATCAGGTTCCAGGCCAGCTGTAGCTAGATAGCCAGACCCCAGTCTTAGGAAGAGAGGGAGGAAGGAAAGGAGAGATGAAGGGCGAGGGGGAGAGAGGGAAAGAAAAAAGAAAGAAGAAAACTGATCTTCCATGGCAGCCTCAGCCTTCCTGACAGACTGTAACCCAGTCTGTCGTCAGCTCAGCCAGCCACGGCAGTACCACCGCCACCGGTGCGCTAGCGCCCTCTAGCATAAGTTCCCCAAATTGCAGGCCCCTCCCTGACACACACCCTCTGTTTCTCACCTCTGAGAAAAGCTGCTGTCTGGCTGAAACCTTGGTTTCTGAGACAGTCTGGCACCTGACCTTATAGGAGCAAATGAAGAATGGCATTAACTCTTTGATATTAAGATTGTCCCAGGGGGCTGGAGAGATGGCTCAGTGGTTAAGAGCATTGCCTGCTCTTCCAAAGGTCCTGAGTTCAATTCCCAGCAACCACATGGTGGCTCACAACCATCTGTAGGGAGGTCTGGTGCCCTCTTCTGGCCTTCAGGCATACAGAAAGAATATTGTATACATAATAAATAAATAAATATTTAAAAAAAAAGATTGTCCCAGAGGCAGAGGCAGGCAGATCTCTATGAGTTTGAAGCTAACCTGGTCTACAGAGTGGGTTCCAGGACATCCAGGGCTATGTAGAAAAACCCTGCCTCAAAAAAAAAAAATTGTTCCAAACTCCCTATCCTTCTCCTCCTCCTCCAACCAAAGCACACCTGTTGTTTATCATGCAAATTAAAATGACTTCCATTGACTTGGATTGGGGTTGTACAGCACTGCTTACAGGTGTTGGCTTAGAGAAAGGGTCGGGAGCTGTTGTGGGAACAGAGACACTTTGGACTCTGTTGTCACCCTTCCCACCTTGTAATGAAGACTTTCCCATTCTCATTGCTGTTCCCCATGGCTCTGGATATGGCTGTGTCAGCCTGCATGTGCTTTGGAGCCTCTTAAAGGGACAGGGAGCAGTCACAGACTGGACAGCCATGCTTCTAGTGTCTGCTCCAGGCTGGTTAGATTCCCTGAACTCAGCTCCCTCTCAGTCTTCGGGCAGAGACTGTGACCTTTTCTCTGAGGCATCTGCTCTCCTAGATCCAGGGCACAGCCCATGCATGCGAGGCAGCAGGCTGGGCCACTGAACAGACCCACAGATGGGAACAGAACCTGACTTCCACCTGTGGCCTTCACTTGGGGGCAGCTCAAAGATTCTTTCATCTTTTCCAGATAATTTTTTGGGGTTTTTTTTGAGGGGGGGGAGTGCTAATTGTTGTTTGTTTTTGAGATAGGGTCTCATGTAGCCAAGGCTGTCCTCACACCTGCTATGAGTTGAGGATGGTCTTGCCCTCCTGATCCCCCTACCTCCTGGTGCTGGGACTTGAGGTTACCTGGCACTTAGCTGTGTTTGTCGGGGGATGTTATTCCTGCCTGGCGTGTTTGGCCCCTGAGTGGCTGGAAGGCAGACAGGACAGAGGGATCAGTGGGCTTTACACATCACACACGGGGCCGTCTGGAGAACGCTGCCCCACCATGGTAGATGAGGACTTCAAAACCCATCCCATCACAGCATTGGCACTTTGAACAGAGTTAGCAGTAACTCTTTGGTTTTTGGAGTCAGAGTCTCTCTGCGTAGCCCTGGCTGTCCTGAACTAGCTCTTGTAGACCAGGCTGGCCTCAAACTCACAGAGATCACCTGCCTCTGCCTCCTGAGTGCTAGGATTAAAGGCATGCGCCACCACCGCCCAGCTTTTTCTTTTCTTACACCATCATGACCAGCACTAGCTAATTTTGAGAGAGTCTTGTGTAGCCCAGGCTGGTCTCTTATGTAGCTGAGGATGGCCCTTTTGACTCTGCCTTCTGATTTTGAGGATTGTGCCATCTCAGTGTTTTATGATGGAAGTCTAAGCCACTGCCTTGACATGTTGCTTGTTTAGTGACACCATTGCTGTCAGTCAGCTGCAACAAACGCCCCTGTGAGCTCTGCGCCTGCATCCAGCAAGTGTTAACGTGTTTGCTATTGGCACACTAGGTCACTGCTTTCAGAGAGTATCTTTTCCTGTTCCTTTATTTCCAACTTATTTATGCCTTTGAGTTTGAACTATGTCTCATGCCTGGAAACTTAGCATCCCTGAGACTGAGGCAAAGGAGTCCAAGCTTCAGGTCAGCCTGGGCTACATAACAAGACCGCATCTCAAAAAAAGGGAGAGGGGAGGCAGTGCTTTTGGGCTGAAAGAGAAAGAAAGAAGGAAAGGAAGAAAAAGAAACACAGTCTCTTGGGCTGGCAAAATGCCCTCGTTGGTAATGTATTTGCCACATAAGCACAAGGATATAAGTTCTACCCCTGGCATCCATGTAAAAAAAGCTAGGCATGGTGTCTGCCTGTAATTCCAGGGCTGGAGATGCAGTCAGGAGGACCTGCTGGCCAGTCAACCTAGAGTGATCAAAGAGCCCGCTTCAAAATAAGATGGATGGTAACTGAGGAACACACCCAGGTTGATCTCTGGCCTCACAGAGGTACACCTACATACACGAACACACACACAATAAGTGTCCTTAGACAGCAGGTATCTGAGTCTTCTTCCTTCCTTCCTTCCTTCCTTCCTTCCTTCCTTCCTTCCTTCCTTCCTTCCTTCCTTCCTTCCTTCCTTTTTTCCAAGACAGGGTCTCCCTGTGTACCCCTGGCTGTCCTAGAACTCTGTAGACCAGGCTGATCTTGAACTGGCAAAGATCAGTCTGCCTCTCCCTCCTGAATGCTGGGATCAAAAGCGTGTGCCACCACCACCTGGCTCACTCTCCACCTTTCAGTGCAAAGTTCCATACATTTGCCCCGAGTATTGCTGTAGGTTCTGGCTTGTACCGTTCCACTATTTGCTAAGCGTTAGTTCTACATTGGGACATCTATACACATTTTCACTTTTTCCTTCACACCCATCTTAGAGCGGACAAATTAAAACCTATGAAGCCACAGATACAGTCCCAATCATTGTGAGCTGAGTTATGATCACATGCTGGGATCATACATCAAACATGAGTTCTGTTCCAGAGGTTACCTTGCTAGTACCGCCTTCCTCTGTCACCAACCAGCATAAGTCAGATCTTTGAAAATGTGAATTCACAGGACTTGGGAGGCAGAGGTCAGTATGGGCTGTATAGTAAGTTCCAGGCTAGCCTGGGCTATGCAGTGAGACTGTGCCTCCAAAAGCCAGTCAGTCAATAGGCAATTTTAAATAAAAATAAATAAATATGAAAATCTAGTTCCATCTCCCCTGCTTCTCACCCTCCAAGGGCTCGTTGCTTGTGCTGTTTCTCTCAAGACCATTGTGGCAATATGTATCACACACACACACAAGCACGCATGCACGCACACACACACACATGCATGCACGCACCCGCACACACGCACGCATGCACATATGCACCCGCATGCACTCGAAGCACTGATATCTTCGTGTTCTTTGCTAATCTGTAGGTACATTCATCTTAATTCTTTTGAGAACCAAGAGGATCCCTTAGATGGCTGTCACCGAGAACTTCTGATGTGATTTAGCCCTCACACCGATTCCCCCTTTCCCCTCTTCAGATCATGAAGACTCTTCAGGACCTGCTCACCGACCTCCATTTACTCAAGAACACGGTTGAAACCCTCCAGAAGGACGTGGACATGATAAAGTACATATTTGAAAAGGTAGCCATCCCTCTACCCTTATCCTCACTTGGCATGCTGGTTAGACCTCCAGGGGTTAGGGCAGTAAGGAAAATTCTAGGCCTGTCCTTAGAGAACATGACCATAAAGGGACGAGAAGGGTTTAACTCTCCCCAGCCATTTTCCTGTCCCCTGTCCTGAACCTCCTGTGGTACCAGCTCATCTTGACTTAGGATAAACAATAGAATTTATTGTTTTACTTCCTTTTTTTAAAAAAAATATTTATTTAATATGTATGTATACAGTCTTCTGCCTGCATATATGCTTCAGGCCAGAAGAGGTCACCAGCTTTCACTACAGATGGTAGTGAGCCACCATGTTGTTGTTGAGAATTGACCTCTGGAAGAGCAGTCAATGCTTTTAACCCCTGAGCCACCTCTCCAGCCCTTGTTTTACTTTCTAAAGTGCTTAAACATGGTTCGTTTTTGAATTTTATGTGCACGGGTGTTTTGCCTGCCTGCATGGCTTGTGCACACATGTGTATCTAATGCCTGCAAAGGCCAGAAGAGGGTGTCAGATCCCCTAGACCTGAAGATGCAGACGGTTGTCAGCCACCATGTAAATGTTGGGAGGTTTCAGGTTGTCCAAGAGTTAGCAACTCCAGAACTTGGTGTCACCAACTTTCCTCTCATCGCAAGCACACTCCACGCTAAAAAGCAGGAAGAGCCAGCACAGACACAGTTCTTATGTAACTCCATCCACCAGCCTACACGCAGCCCAGCCAACCATAGAGTAGCACAGAATCCCTGGGGCAAGAGGCAGCAGCATCCAGACCGCAGCCGAAGAAATCAAACTGGATTCAGGAACCAGGTCTTCACTTCCAGGCCAGCAAAGTGGCCGAGGTGGAGCCACTGACCCCAAACAGTGTGGTTTTAATGTAGCATTTGAGTCTCAGGCTGATCTGGAGCTGGGTCAGGAAGCAGGACCGTGAAAACTAGTGTCTTTGTTCGGGTTTCTATTGCTGTGATGAAAGACCGTGACCAAAAAACAAGCCGGGGAGGAAAGGGTTTATTAGGCTTACATTTCAGCCTTGCTGTTCATCACCAAAGGAAGGCAGGACAGGAACTCAAGCAGGGCAGGATCCTGGAGGCAGGAGCTGATGCAGAGGCCATGGAGGGGAGCTGCTACTGGCTTGTTCCCTATGGCTTGTTCAGTCTGCTTTCTTATAGAACCTAGGAGCAGAAGCCCAGGGAAGATAGCACCCACTGTGGCCTGGGTCTTCCCCATTGATCATGAAATGAGAAAATGTCTTACAGCTGGATCTCAAGGAAGCATTTCCTCCTTCCTCTGATGACTCTAGCTCATGTCGAGTTGACACACAAAACCAGACCGGACAACTAGAAAGGACACCTTGGGGCAAGTCTATCTGAGCAACAATTCTTTCTTGGCCCACCTCTTGCAGTCATTGCTGTGCTCCACTTTCACCTGCTCTGGAGCAGGTCTCTAGTCACCTGGCCTCCGGCCTGATAGGTAGCAGAGAGTGACTTAGGGCCTCCCGCTCCACAGCACAGTGCTAAGACTGCATGTCTAGTCTCTCTTGGTTTTATGCAGCGCAGGGGATAATCCTTGTGTCTTATAGACGCTTGGCAAGTACTTCACCACCTAGGTCACGCTGCCAGCTCTCCTCTTCAAGAGTCTTTTGTTTGTTTGTTTGTTTGTTTGAGACAGGGCTTTTCTGTGTAGCCCTGACTGTCCTGGAACGCACTCAGTAGACAAGGCTGGCTTCGAACTCATAGAGATTGCCTGCCTCTATCTCCTGAGTGCTGGGATTAAAGGTTTGTGCCAGCACTACCCAGCTAAGATTCTTTTTTTTTTTTTAAGATTTATTTATTTATTATGTATACAACATTCCTTCCATGTATTTTTGCATGCCAGAAGAGGACACCAGATCTCATTATAGATGGTTGTGAGCCACCATGTGGTTGCTGGGAATTGAACTCAGGACCTCTGGAAGAGCAGTCAGTGCTCTTAACCTCTGAGCCATCTCTCCAGCCCCCCAGCTAAGATTCTTAATGTTCTACTCTTTCAATGTTCTGAAAAGCTCAGAAATTGTTGAAGGTGTTTAGCCCAACACTTCCCAAACTTTTTTTATTTTTATTTTTAATCTATGGAACCCTTTTCTTTGCTTGGAAACTCCCGTCATCCCAAACTCACTTGCCTAATATGGTGAGAAGCAGCCAGGCTGAGACCAGAACCTGTACCCCAGCCTTGGATTATGGTTCCTGGCAGGTGAACCCAGAAAGAATGGAGCTTGTCTGTGAAGACTTGAAAATACAGAACCGGAAGTTGGGTGCCCTGCAGCGGGAAGTGGTGAGATCCTGGGATTCTCTTTCTTGCCCTAGGCTCTGGGGCTGGAATAGTTGTGGGAAACAGCACAGCCTGAAAAGGGTTTCAGGGAGCAAGAATTCATGTTAACAACATCCCCCACAGCAGCCCAACCCTAGCTCACACTCCCTCTCCACCCCACTGCACAGGTTACCCTCCAGAACAAGGTTCGTGCTGTCCCCCAACCTGAGGACATGGTGCTCTGGAGTGGTCTCCATGAGGCCATGTTCACTCCGGTGAGTGGAGGAAGAGGAGGAGGAGGAATGGGACAAGGGGGTCATGAAACCAGACGGTCAACTCAACCCCTTCCCCTACAGGGACCTCAGATGGAACTGGAACCCTCCAAGACGTGGCAGAGTATGACCTCTCTTCCAGAACCTACCTCGGGGCCGGCTAAGGATGGCGGCCAGACTGATGTCTCACACCCTACCCACAGCGCCACCCCTTTGCAGACCGTCCTGCATTTTGAAACCGCGGGAGTCCTTGAGGAGGATGCCTTCACCCAGGCTGCTGAGTTTAGCGCCCCCCAGGGGGTAGAGTATGCTCAGGCCTCCGTATCTCAGTCGGGGTCTATAATTGCACCTGGACAAGTACCAGGGCCTAGTGGGAGACCTGGTCCTGGTTTCATCCCAGCCGGTTGGTCTAGACCTGAACTGGCTCCCCCAGGCGCATGGCCCTTACCACCAAGAGGCTGGCCTGGGGCTAATGCTTGGCCTATGTGGGATATGCGTACCTTCCAGCCTAGCCTAGGTCCATTTGTCCCTCTGGGCCAGATGTACAGGGCTCCTTTCCCAGTCATGGAACCTGGACCACCATGGCCTCCTCAGGTGTGGCCACGACACCAGATTCCTAAAGTAGGAGCCCGCCAACTTTCAGATGTTGAAGAAAGAGGGGACGAATCCGAATATGACTACGTCGAAATGTATCATAAAGCAATCCCTAAAGATGGGGCTCCCCAGGATGCTGTTCCTGAGGAAGGGGCTCCCGAAGATGGTATTCCCAAGGAAGGGGCTCCCCAGGAGGAGATTGCCAAGGAAGGGGCTCCCCAGGAGGAGATTGCCAAGGAAGAGGCTCCCCAGGTTGGGACTCGCAAGGATAGGGTGCACCATCACAGAGTCACCAAGGGTAGAGCTCCCAAGCACAAACCCCACAAAGATGGGGCCCCCCGTGAGAGAGCCCCAAAAGATGAGGCTTACCAAGACACAGTTCCCAAGGCCATGGCCACCAAAGATGGATCCCAGAAAGACATGACCCAAACAGCACACCGTAAGGTCCCTCCATCGGCCCTAAAGAAGCTGAAGTCCGTCTTGACGATTGCTGCAGCAACTGCTGCAGCCTATGCATCGGCAGCAAACACAGCTGCCCAGGCAGCCAAAGCTGCGGTCAAGGCAGTCAGAGATGTTCCTGCAGCCCAAATGGCTTCTTTAGCCTCAGCTGCGGCAGAGGGTGGGCCTTTAGGGGCCTTTGCAGATTTCCTGGGTGCAGGATCTAGCCGTGGGGCCACCGACTTCATGCCCTTCAGTGACGATGAGCTAGAAGACCTTCCTGAAGAGATCATATCATCACTTCTTCACCCCATGGTACCCAGATCAGTCCTGTGCCAGGCCATGATAACTGCCATGCAGGCTGAGAGCCCTGAGGAGAAGAAGAGGGCTGTCCAGTACTCCATGAGCCACATAGCCCAGATGCCTATCAGGCACGATTCCCTCAAAGAAGAGTTTGACCATCTGTCGACCAACCTGCACCAGCGCTTAACTTACCTGGGTAGGCCTGGTCAACCCCGGGGAGGGCAGCAGAGGCTCAGGCCCTCCCTGTAGTCTGGCTCCTTGGGTTTCCTCAGCAAGATCTCCATTCAAACTTTAGCCACCTATCCCTTTGGTTTAAGCACTACTAGCCTCTTAATAATCTACTCTTTTTATAGTAAACATCCCCCCCTCCATTCCGAGTGCTGGAATTCCAAGTATATAGCACCATGTTTAGCTGCTGCTTCTTCTTCTTCTTCTTCTTCTTCTTCTTCTTCTTCTTCTTCTTCTTCTTCTTCTTCTTCTTCTTCTTCTTCTTCTTCTTCTTCTTCTTCTTCTTCTATGTCTCCTCCTCCTCCTCCTCCTCCTCCTCCTCCTCCTCCTCCTCCTCTTCCTCCTCCTCCTCCTTTTCTTTTTCTTCTTTTTGAGAAATAGCCCTGGCTGTCCTGGAACTCACTATGTAGACCAGGCTGGTTTTGAATTCACAGAGATTGACTGCCTGCCTCTGCTTCCTAAGTGGTGGGATTAAAGGTATGTGCCACCATGCTTGGTTCATATGTTCTTTTGTGAGTTTTTGTAGAAACTGTATCAGAAAATCTACCATCCTTTTCAAGCCCCCCACCCCCACCCCAGGCTCACTGTATTTCTTTGGGACACAGCATAGGCGTGGGAGGTCTCACGTCATGTCCCTCCGACATTCCTCTTAGTGGTCGCTCCCTCTTTTTACTTTCAGCTAACATTGGAGACCCTGCCAAGATTGGCAACACAATTAATGTGCTGGAGGAGAAGATTTGTAACCTCCAGAAAGCCAGGCTACAGGTTAGTGCCCTAGGCAGAAGATGGTGGCTTGCCTTGAGTTAGGGACCTGCCTCTTGACTGTCACCCTTCCAATCAAGCTCTGTTGTTGCTGGAAAGGGACCTGCAGAAGTGGGTGGGGTGGCATCAACAGCACCCATGCAGAATCCATGGGCAGGTGGCTCTGTTGTCCCCCATCAATAAGTGTTTTATGTGCCGGCAGAGGCCAGCCTGGTGTGCACAGGCCCGATATCGCTTCCTGACCTTAGGACCCTCCTATTTTGGCAACATCGGAAGCAGAGCCTTGGATGTCATTGTCTCTCCCATTTAGGAAGAAGAACTTGAGAGAGTTTGGGGCCACCAGATTGAGACAATGAAGAGTCACTACATGGTGCTCGACAGGACGGTGGAAAAGCTCCAGATTCGCATAGATGACTTCAAGGTTAGGAGGTCTGAGGACCAAGAGGGAGGCAAGGAGAATTCCTCCTTGGGATGATGAGACCGTCCCCAAATGGTTTATAGTGGGGTCCACTAAATGCAAGGGAAACAGATATTTTACTCTGCACAAAGTACACTTCAATCACCCAGGTGGTGGCGCACACCTTTAATCTCAGCACTCAGGAGGCAGAGGCAGGCGAATCTCTGTGAGTTTGGGGCCAGCTTAGTCTACAGAATGAGTTCTAGGGCACCCAAGTCTATACAGAGAAACCCTGTCTTGAAAAAACAAAGAAAGGGAAGGAAGGAAGGAAGGAAGGAAGGAAGGAAGGAAGGAAGGAAGGAAGGAAGGAAGGAAGAAAGGAAGGAAAAAGAAAGAAAGAAAAGAAAAAGAAAAAGAAATCCCAGGGACTGGAGAGACGGTCCAGTGGTTAAGAACACTGCGACTCTTGCAGAGGACCTGGGTTTCATTCCCAGCCCACATGTGACAGCTTAAAATTACCTGTTAACTCCAGTTCCAGGGCATTCAGTGCCCTCTTTTTGATTCCATGAGCACCAGGCATGTACGTGGTGCCCATACAAACATTTAAGTAAAACATTCATACACATAAATCTTTTCTAAAATCCCACACACAAAGGGCCTGGACAGTGTGTATCCTTGAGGGCCTTTGCAGGACAGATCTAAGGCTTAGTGACATTTGTCAAAGAGATCAGTGTATGCATAAGAGGATTTCTTTCTTTTTTTTTTTTTTTCCTTTTTCTTTCCTTTTTTTTTTTCTTTTGAGGCACTGTTTCCCCATAGCCTGTAGCTTTGGAACCTGTCCTGGAACTCGCTTTGTAGACCAGGCTGGCCTCAAACTCATGGTTATATGCCTACCTCTGCCTCCTGAGTGCTGGGATTAAAGATGTGTACCACCACTACCTGGCCTTCTTCTTCTATTCTTTTTTTTAATAAGAGGATTTCTTGTAGCAATAGTTATGTTTATAACTTTCCCCCTAAACCAGTTCTTCCTCCTGCAGGGTTAAGAATGGAGCTAGGAGCCGGGCAGTGGTGGCGCATGCCTTTAATCTCAGCACTTGGGAGGCAGAGGCAGGCAGATCTCTGTGAGTTCTAGAACAGCCTGGTCTACAAGAGCTAGTTCCAGGAGAGGCTCCAAAGCTACAGAGAAACCCTGTCTCGAAAAAGCAAAAAAAAAAAAAAAAAAAGAATGGAGCTGAGTGTGAGGCAGCAAGCGCTTGCCTAGCGTGCCCAGAACCAAATTCCACTGCTTAGAAACTAGGGCGGAGGGTGAAGAAGGCTCATCACACCACACCTGTAGCCTCCATTTACATCCCAGTAGATATAAATGCAAGGCAGGCTGGGAGTGCAGTTCTCATCTGGGCAGCTAAATTGGGAGTTTTTCCGAGGGGTGAGAGAGACCAGATGCGAGGAGAGAAGTCCCTTTGGCTTGGGAGGAAAAGTGACCCCAGCCTCTGGGGACCGGGGAGGCACTTCCCAAGCAGGCAAGCCGCTGCTCCTGTCACGGGGGGGGGGGGGAGTTTATTTATTCGTTGTTTGTTTATTTGTTTTGAGACAGAGTTTCTTTGTGTAACAGCACTTGTTACTAGCTCTGTAGACCAGGCTGGCCTTGAACTCACCGAGATCCTCCTGTCTCTGCGTCTTGAGGGCTGGGATTCAAGATGTGTGCCACCACTGCCTGGTCTTGAGGGGTGTTTATTAAGTGGAGATAGGCCAGCACCAACAGGGGAGTTCATGAAGTTAGGTGATAGGAGTTAAGGTTTCCCCTCTAATCCTTGGGCATGATGTATGGCCTGCTGACGTCAGGATGCTGGGACCCCACTGCAGCTTAGATGAGGTGGACTGGATTAAACATCCAGGGAACGGCACGGCCAGCACTGCCTTGTGCTTCCTTGGATTGACCTCTGGTGACACGGGAGACTAGGGCTAGTTTGTCCCTAGTCTCTGTGGCTTCTTTTCTGTCCCAGTTGCCTGTAAGCAGGAGCTCTAACCCAGCCATCTGCTCCTTACCCACATGGCCTCAGTTCCCTTCCTAGCAGGTGGCAAAGTTGGAGGCACAAAATAAATGTGACCCTCAAGGCCACAGCAAAGGCTGACCTGACTGTACTTTGCCCTTAGACCCTCAAGGATGAAATCCAAAGGCTGGATCAGATTAAAGCCGATAAAACTACGATGGACCAGGAGCTGAGAGAAGTAAGCTGAGGTCCCCTGCCCCCCACTGTTCATCCCCTGCCCCCACTGTTCATCCCCTGCCCCCCACTGTTCATCCCCTGCCTCTTATTTGCCAGTCAGAGTCGGAATCACGCAGCAAAGACAGCAGCTAGCATTCCCTCTGCCTCTATTCATTCAGGAAATCTGGGAGACCTCAAAAGTTACCTATCCACTCCTCTTTCCCATGACTGGAGATTAGTGACATTATTATTTTAAAAATCAGCCGGGCGGTGGTGGCGCACGCCTTTAATCTCAGCACTTGGGAGGCAGAGGCAGACGGATCTCAGTGAGTTCGAAGCTAGCCTGGTCTACAAAGTGAGTTCCAGGACAGCCAGGACTGTTTCTCAGAGAGACCCTGTCTCAATATATATATCATAACTGGGCAGTAGTGGTGCACACCTTTAAGGCCAGCACTTGGGAGGCAGAAGCAGGTGTATCTCAGAGTTCGAGGGCAGCCTGATCTACATAGTGAGTTCCAGGACAGACCTTGTCTCAGAAAAAAAAAAAAAAAAAAGACAAAGAAGCAGGCATTAGGCCTTGGATGGATGCCCCTCAGTTGGCTGAGTGCCTTCCTAGTGTGCATGAAGCCCTAGGGTCAGTCCTCAGCACAGCACAGTGGCGTGAACCCATAACCTCACCACTGGAAGCAGAAGGCTCAGAAATTCAAGGTCATCTTGACCATGGGCTACAAGGCCAGCCTGTATCCCATGGTGTACATGGGACTGTGTTTAAAAAATAGACATAAAAATCACAGTCAACTTTCCTGTTTGGCTCAGATTCCACAGCTGTGTTTGAGCCAGTGTAGACACCACCACTGCACTTAAGCCAAGGTCACATATTCATGGTCTTCAACTAGAAAAGCTGGCCCCAGAGATCAGGGGTCTTGCTGACCTGAACCCCCTCTGCCTAGAAAGCTGACAGGGATGCCCTGGCAAGCAAGGCAAACCGGGCGGACCTGGAGGTGACGGCGATGGAGCTGAACGAGATGATTCAGAGCATGCTCTTGAAGATCACGACCTATGAGGGGGACTGGAAGAAGTCGCTGAAGCACCTCAGGAAGGACCTGAACACTAAGGTGAGCTACGCAACAACTTGCCCCAGAGCTTAACAGCCTCAAGGAGCAAAAGCTGATGGTTTTTAAAGACCTTGGAAGCAGCTTACTAGGTGGCTCAGGACCTATGACTTCCCAAGTCAGAGTGAGGTATGCCATTCCCATTGTACAACCTGAACGAGCCAGGTGAAGCCACTGTCGTCAAAGCGCTTCAGTGTCTCTACACTGACTCCTTGGGGCCACTTAAGGGCCTCACAACATGGCAGCCACTCCCCCACCGCACACACCAAGTGACCCAAGGCAACAAAAAAAATGTGCAATGAGACTCCCATCATTTCCATGTCGTCCTCTTCATTATTCAAGTGGACCCTGTTCAGAGCAAGAGGAAACAGCTCCGGTGGAATGAGTCCCAGCCGTATCTGCAGCCATGTTGGAGGCTGACTTCCGGAACTCTCGGGGCGGTGCAAGCACCCCAACTAACAGGTTGGGGTGAGGGGGCTTCCTGCAGAAAGGACCATGCCTGTCATTTGTTTCTGTCAGTGACTGCCCCGGCATGCCATGCCACGCCTGGGGAATGCAGATGGGCAGTCCCAGCGCGCTCCGTGGCTCTTTTAACCGCGTGGCGCGTTTAGAATCAGGTACTCTTGGTTTGCGTCTCGAACAGGCTTCAGCTTTCCTTCTGTAAGCTGGAGATTGATCCATTCATGCTCCTTGCTGGGTGAGCAGTGAGCCAAGCAGATGGGGCACCGTCTTTGCAGACACAAATTCCTCAAAGAAAGGACACAAGTCACTGCAAAGCCACAATGCCATAGCATTCTGCAGCACAGCTGGCCTGTGTTTCTTGCTTCAGTGGAACGGAATGAATCTAAAGCTGGACTGACAATGTGACTCGAGTAGGAATTAACACATAAGTCACTGTTCCCAGGGATGGGGGTGGTGTGGTGCACAGCTGGAATCCGAGCACTCAGGAGGTCCACAAGTTCAAGTCCAGCTTGGGCTACAGTGAGTCTGGAGATCAGCCAAGGTAATCTAGCAAGACCCTGTCTTATAGGGAAAAGGAAAAGGGATCCAGACAGACAAATCCTGAGGACAGAGAGCAGGTTGTTGGTTGCCAGAGGCTGGGGATTTGGAAGGAAATAGGGGTATATGGAAATGTTTTTTTTGGGGGGGGGAGTGATGTAGATGTTCTAAAATAGATTATGAAGTCAGGTGTGGAGGTGTAAGGCTGCCATTTCAGCTCTTCTGATGCTAAGGTGGGAAGATTGTGACTTCCAGGCCAGACTCAGCTACATAGTGAGGTACTGGCTCAAATAATTAAATAAATAAATAAAAAATTGCCAGGCGATGGTGGCACATGCCAGTTTGAGGCCAACCTGGTCTACAGAGCAAGTTTCAGGATGGCCAGGGCTACACAGAGAAACCATGTCTCAAAAAACAAACATAAATAAATAAGTTTGCTGGTCACAGTGGTGCATGCCTTTAATCCCTTTAATCCCAGACAGAGAGGCAGATGGATCTGTGAGTTCGAGTTCCAGGACAGTCAGGGCTCTGTGGAGAGACCCTGTCTCAAAAGAAAATTTAAAGTAATAATAATAAATTTGATTGTGATGGTTACATAACTTTATGAGCACACTAAAACAATTGTCCACTTTATATGCAAACCCTCCATAAATATTTGTGACCCACGTCAGGATACAGGGTTCACCGGAGAAACATTTTTCCAGCCTCTGGTCACACAGGAGCTGGGAGTCTTATTTGCAAGTCCCCTATGCCAACAGCGCCCGCAAAGGCGTGAGCTGAACGGTTCTCCCTTTCCTGGGTCTTGAGCTGCTTTATCTCATTCTTTGTGGGACTCTACAGGTTGCTGGGGTCAGCTAACTGGTGGGACTTCTTTCTTCCCTGTGACTGGCAGCTAGTCCACAGTGACCTCAATAGCCTGAAGAAGGACATAGAGGAGGTCTGGAAGATCGTTCGGAAGCTCCTGATAGAAGGCCTGCGATTCGATCCCGACAGTGCCGCAGGCTTTAAGAAGTGAGGGTGCTTATACTGATATTCTGGCCAAGAGATGGATGCCTAGAATTCTAGACCGTGGCCATGGGGAGGGGTCAGGGAGGGTGTGACACAGTAGAGAGCATCCATCAAATGAGGAAACCGTGGCTCAGAGAGGGAAGGGAAACCAGGATAGGCCCACCGAATTGGCAGGTCTAACTAGAGCCTGAGTCAGGGTCTATGACCCCGCCCCGGACAGAGAGGCTTGCCATCAAGCGCCCTGTATGTCCCTCCTCCAAAGGTGGCTTCACTAGTGCAGGAACTGAGGTTGATGTGCCTGGGCCTGTAAGAGGTGGGAAACCACAGCGCTCTGTCCTGGGGCCTCAGGCAATGACAAAGGGATTTGGGGGACCTTTAGTTCACCTCACCCCAAGCCCTGGAACCTGCTAATCCTTGACTACTGACCTGCTTGTCCTCCAGGAAACTGTTCGAGCGGGTGAAGTGCATCTCCTGTGACCGGCCAGTAGAGATGATGACCGGCCCGTGAGTACCACCACCAGGGGCACTCTCCTATAGACATCGTGACTCCGCTCTGCAGAGCTCAAGCAAAGGCACACACCTGCCTACACATCCTTCCGCACCATTCTATAGCCACCATAGACTGTCCTTCCTTAGTGGTTCCCTCGAAGGGGGAGTAGATCTCTCTCACCTTTACCACTCCGAGTTAGAAACACGAAAAAGAAAAGGATAGAGGGATCGCTGAGGGAAAGCAGGGATTTGTTATTTCTGACTTCGTTAATCTTTGTGGAGACAGAGTCTTGCTGGCCTCAGAACTTGCAATCTTCCTGTGTCACCGTCCCAGTGATGGGATTTCGGGTGCACATCTTTAGTTCCGGCTTCTTGCCCTTACTTTGTTATCATTGTAAATGGCGTGATCCCGTGGCCTGCAATTCTGCAGTTGTTGCCTCTGGTCAATTCCAGCGCACTGCTCAATCCCCCAAAGGCATCCATCCCCTGTCCTGTTGGCAGTCACTTCTCATTGCCACCTCCCTGTAGCCCAGGAATGTCTTTTCCAGATGTTTTCTGTAGATGGGACTGACTGTACAATATGTGACCTTTGGTGTCTGGCTTCCTGACTGGGCTTAATGAGATTCCTCCACATTGTAGCCAAATCAATGCTTCGCTCCTTTGTTACAACTCCTTTGTTACTATTCCGTTGTAGGGGCAGAAAGCCCTTTGTGTATCCATTCGCCAGCAGGTGGGCATTTGGGATGTCTCTAAGCTGGTGTGACTAGTGAACACGGGTGTGTGTTTGAGTGCCAGTTCTCCATGGCTGGGAGAGACACTGGGTCACATAGTAACTTTGTATGCTCCAGACGGTACTCTGTCCCGGGCTGCTGATCTCTATGATCATGACTGTGCACATGTGCTAAGGATTAATGTGACCAAGAATCTGGGTGGTAAATCTTATCTGAATTTTGTTAGCCACTTGTAGTCACTGGCTACTATACTGGATGGCATGGCTGTGGAAGAATATTAATGACTTGAAAAATGATAAAGGAAATCAGACCATATGCATGTGATTTTCCCACTTTCTTTAAAGAAATTACACAAACATGGACATAATATTGGAAGGATATGAATGTCAGAGTCTGTCCCTGTTAGGGAGCTTGCTTCTTCGTGCCTTCCTTTACTTTATAACATGCAGATCAGTATGCCTCACTGAACATGTTTCAATGCAGTGTACCGTCTGCACGGGAACAAACACGTCTGCATGTATGTGACCATTGCACAGAGGGAGCGGTGGAGTGGGCCCAGCTCCCTGGAAGGCTGTTTTGGATTATGGACATACATAACCTTAGCCACTTGAAGGGAGCTCCCACAGTTGGTGTGTCCGTGATGTGCAGACCCCACGTGTACCTGAGTCCTTTGCCATGGCCCTTCCAAGCAGTGTGTCCCCCTCCTTGTGCGCATAGCTCCTGGCAAACCCTTATCTGTGACAAATCTCTAGGATTTCCCTCCTTTGGTTTTTGACTACTATTTATTTACTTAGTTACTTATTACTGGAGAAAGGCACACACACACACACACACACACACACACACACACACACACACACACACACACGTCCAAGGTAGCCTTAGCCTTGAATGAAGTATGTCCTAATAGTACAGGCTGACTTTGAACTTGTTCTCCTCCTGCCTCAGACTGCCAAGTGTTGGGATTACACGTGTGCGCCTCTGGCTTGGTTTTCACTTTACATTCTGAACGGTGTCTGTATCTTCCCCCAACTGTCAGCTGCAAGCTTTGGACTTGGGCTTCAGGCTGTGAGCTGCCTGAAAGTCCTAGGCTTCCTCTCTCCAGGTCTGGAGCCCTCTGCTGGGCATTGGACCTCCCACAGCCCTGGTCCCCTCTGCCTCTACAGACAGCTCATCACCATCCGCAACACCCATGGGCTGTCACAAGTGAGGCCAGCCAGTGCCAACAGCTTTGAGTATCTGCAACGGCAGCTGATAAGGTGAGGGCCATGGCCACCCCCATTCCCAGGGAGGTCCAAGACCCCTGCCAACAGACTTTCCTTCAATGCAAGAGCCAAAGAGGGCCCGGGATGCCTATCTGGGGTTGTGGTGTGGCTGATAAGTACACAGAGGGCAGGGGAGGAGAGGAGCCAACATCTGCATTTGGCATCTGCTGTGGGCTGGAACTCAGGAGGGTCTTGTAATGGAGGCATATTGTGCTAGCTACTCAGGAGACGGAGGTAAAAGGATCTTAAGGTCTTCCTAGGCTACAGAGTGAAACCTTGCCTCAAAAGAAACAGAACAAGGCCAAGGCCGGGGATATAGCTCAGTGACAGTTTGTCTAGCCTGCACAGGCCCTGGATTCAACCTCCAGCTGAACGAATGGGGGGAGGGTGGCGATGGGCGGGCTCCTTGTTAGGTCTTATAATCCTTGGAATATAGTATTAACTAACGTGCTTGTTTCCTGGTGGGTAACTGAGGATCCTCTGGGAGCCCTTGCTGAGGTCTTGTTGGGTCATATGGCTTCCTTTGGAAATGTACTACAATTTCACCCCACTTCATAGCTGAGACAAAGTGACCTGCCCACGACCACACCATGGCTAGGGAGTGACTGGGGCCTTACCTGCCATCATTTTCCTCCCTCAACCTAGCTGGCTACCTGGACCTCCTCTTCATTTCCCTCATTCTTGGGTTCCAGGGGGTCCCTCCAGGGCCCAGTCTGTGTGAGCTTCTGGCCAGGGGTGGGACAGGGGCAGGGGAATGAACAGCTGAGCATTAATCACTGCAAGGGGAAGGATGAATGACTTGTGTGGTTCACCTAAACCCCTGTCTGCTGACTGGAGCCCAGGCTCCAGGTGTGGTTGGTTAGAGAAGGGAGTATGGGCGATTTCCCTCCTAGAATTGTCCATGTCTGTAATTACTCACCAAGCTCCAGGCCTGCCTGCTGTACCACCCAACTTCTTTGGGGCCTGTGCAGGGCTCCTCTGTGAGGGTTCACCATGTGGCTGCTGACCTCTGCCCTGTCCAGGGAACAACATTTGCATTTACACAACTTTGGAGTCCATGAGGAGGGTCTGGGCCCCCAGAAGGACTGGGGTGATGGACCCCGAAATGGGACCACCTTCAAGCACAAACCAAATGACCTGTCAACAGTCTACCCTTACGGGGACCCTGAGATAATGGACTATGACACGGTGAGTCTGGCTTTGCCCTCCTTTCAGAGGCTGGATGCCCGCATACCCAACCCCAAGAGTGGGATGAAGCCCTGAGCCGAGGGCATCTTGAGGCCATGTCCTGGCTCTGGGTGTCTGTGTGCATCAAGAGAAAGGGGTGGCAATGGAGTCCCTGACTTGGGACCTGGGCCATCCCACAGGCTGAGGTGGACATCCTGGGAGTGGATGGGGTCCTGTACAAAGGCCGAATGAACACCCAGTTTGGGACACGGACTGGGGAGAAGGACCTGGCAGGTGAGGAGCATCGGTGTTTCCTGGGATTCCTACCCTGGGGTCTGGTTCTGCTGGCCAGGACGGGGGAATGCAGGTGGACTCAGGGCTGGTGCTGCCCCCTGGCTGAGGAGCCCTCACAGTCACTTCCAAGAGTAGAGTCCCCATTGTGTGCTTGGTATTTTACCAGGTGGGTGGGTGGGCCTAAAAGCACGCAACAGAAGGGACGAATCCCTAGTGGCAGACAGAGATAACCAACTAACCTGAACCGGCCATCCATGGTGGCACACACCTTTTGGTTTTTGTTCATTTGTTTTATTTTGTTTTGAGTCAGGATTTCTTTGTGTAACCCTGGCTGTCCTGAAACTCACTCTGTAGACCAGGCTGGCCTCGCAGGTGGGTCTCTGAGTTCAAGGCCAGCCTGGTCTACAGATGATGTTAAAGAACAGTCAGAGCTAAGGAAACAAAGCAAGATAAACAAAAACGCCCCAGCTGACCTTTTCAAAATGCACAAAAGTTGGGGTCTCTTGGGACAAAAGGTATATAGCTCTGTGACAGAGTTCATAAATGCAAGGGCCTGGGTTCTTTTACTAGTACTAGAAAGGAAATGAATAGCTGAGCTGAAGCTGGACACCGGCAAATGCTGGCCTGGGGGGATGCCACACTGGTGGGATGAGCTGTGCCGGGCAAAGCTGGTCCATGGGGGAGCGATTAGACAGCGCCCTGAACACTTCTGAAGAAGATACAGGAGTGAGTTAGCGGAGGAGAGGGAGGAGTGTGGTCTATGTGGAGCAAGAACAGATTCAAGGCCCTGTGGTAGGCTGGGTAGAACTGCAGGAGGGTGAGTCTACCTGGAGCATAGAAACTAGGTAAGGGTAAATAACCATGGCCAGACCCAGACCCAGGAGCCCAGGGTCAGAGCAGCGAGAGACCCCAATCTTTGTGCATTTTGTATCAGTTGCTGTGGTTATTCTGGTGTCTAGGACCCCAAAATTCTTAGTTTCCTCACTGGGTGTGTAATAAAATAATACAAAAAACGGAGCTTCTCTGTACACGCATGGGGATGTTTTCCTCTGGGAAGGATATGTCTAAAGCTTGCCCCTGCCCAGGAACTGCAGCGCTTACATCAGGAGTGAATCAGGATCCCAGGGCATCTAACCCATAGGAATTCCACAGGCTGCCTATGGACCAGAGCACTACATGCACTAGGCTGAGGCCACACCCCCCAGTAGCTGTCAGAGCTCACCCTGAAACCCCAGGGCCCCAGAGCTACAGGACAGTTTACCCATATCTGACATCCCAAGTCACATCTTTTCTCCTCAGCTGTGAAGGTTTCCTATCCTTCAGTTCAAAACCTGAGCGATCGTGTGCGCCCCGGATCATTACTTGCTCCGGGCTACCCCCGTGAGTACCTGACGCCCCTGGGGTTCTGGCAGATCTCCAGATTCTCCTGGTCCTTCCCCCGCCCCTCTCTACTCACCTCTCCAGCTCTGGCCTGCTCATCCACATCCTGGCAGCCATTTGCTCTCTGGCCATTAGCGGTTCTGGCCGTCTACACTCCCCTCAGGGGAGTTTCTTGCTGGGTTTTTGTCCCCAGAGGGCCCCCCCCATCTGCAGACGTGGGACAAAGGAGGCCATTTACAGCCCTGGGCTTCTTGTCTGAGAGAACTGGGCCCTTGAGCTTCCCTGGTTCCTGTCTCTGGACCTCCAGAGGACCTGCACAGAGCACTTCCTCCTGTCTGCCTCTTCTGCTGTTTGTCCTTTCCAAAGACAACGTGGTTGAGGCTCAGTCCTGACACCTGAGCCCCAGCTCCAAGCCCCTCCCCCCAGGTGCACCATTCTATTCTAGTGCCCATTTTTTGAGTCATGTGTCTTAGTCACCCTTGAAAGTGCAGGACCAGGACCAGAGGAGGTGCAGTGGACAGCCTGGCCATGCGTTACAATGCATCTCCAGTCTGTTCCCTGGGGGGAGAACTCCATCAGGCCAGCTGCTTCCGGAAATGCTAAACACAGCCTGTGTTTCTCCTGCTTCGTCCCCAGCCTTAGGCCCCCGCACCAGCATCAGCTCTGGCACCACCCAACACTCTGCCACAACGGTGGCTCGGCCGCCATCCCTGCCACCAGTGCCACAGCTACCGCCACTGATCCCAAGGGACCCGCAGGAGGCCCCTGGACCCACCAGGCACATGAAATCTCTGCGGCTGGAGTCCCTAGCCAACACCCAGATTGCAGAGGAGCACACCCAGCTGTGAGGCACAAGCCTGTGACCCAACTACCATGGGGTCCCCTTCACTTTAAGGAAGAGACCTGGGGCCCTGGATCAGACCCAGGAAAGGGTGCAGGGACCCTGTGTATAGAGGGAAGGGTCTGCATAGGGGACCCACATAGACTCAGCGTTTAACTATGTACCTGAAACACAAACCACACAATCCTTGGCCAACATTTTCATGAATAACACAGCTTTTGAGTGAAGGTTTTCATAGAGTCAACTGAATTTCTTTTTTGTTTGTTTGTTTTTCGAGACAGGGTTTCTCTGTGGTTTTGGAGCCTGTCCTGGAACTAGCTCTTGTAGACCAGGTTGGTCTCGAACTCACAGAGATCCGCCTGCCTCTGCCTCCCAAGTGCTGGGATTAAAGGCGTGAGCCACCATCGCCTGGCTTCAACTGAATTTCTTAAGCACTTCCCTCTACAGCACAAAGTGGTCTTAAAACAACCCCGTTGGGTCGGCAGAGTGCTTGCCTAGCATGCACCACCGAGTTTGATACCTCTAGCACCAGAGAAGCTGGTATGGTGGTATACACTGGCAATACCAGCACTTCAGATGGAATGGCAAGAGGACCTGGCCAAGGCCACTCTCAGCTACACAGTGAGTTCATGGACAGCCTGAGATATAAGAGACCCTGTGTCAAACAACAAAAACAAAAATCCTTCTCCTTGGCATTCTGCTAAGATGTCATCAGGATTGGCTTCTGCCTCCTTGAATCTTCCGTAGAAGCCAATAGTTCCCATGGGAAGCAAATTTCACCATGTACTATTTTTTATTTCCTGTGACCATTATTATGGCTCTAACTTGTGTGTGAGAGGCTATAAGGTGGTGTGTGTGTGGTGCGGGGGTTGGGGGGTGTTGCCCCTGTGTGTGTGCTGAGGTCAGAGGAAGATGCTGAATGTCTTGCTCTATCTTTTTTTTTTTTTTAAAGATTTATTTATTACGTATACAACATTCTGCCTCCATGTATGCCCACACGCCAGAAGAGGGCGCCAGATGGTTGTGAGCCACCATCTGGTTGCTTGGAATTGAACTCAGGACCTCTGGAAGAGCAGCCAGTGCTCCTAATCACTGAGCCATCTATCAAGCCCCATCCTGCTCCATCTTACTCCCTTGAGACAGTCTCTCACTGAACATGGAGCAAGGCTGGTGGCCAGCAAGTCAGTGACCCTCTATCTCTGTCCCCATCCTCCACGGCTGGGGTTATAGATATGTGCAAGGCCACACCCAGCTTTTTACATGGGCTCTAGGGATTTGAACTCAGGTCCTCATGCTTATGCAGCAAACACTCTTGTTGAGCATCTCTTTGATCTGTTTGTTTTTGAGACAGGGTCTCCCGTATCCTAGGCCGGCTTTGCTTTCACTCTGTAGCTGAGGATGACCTTGATCTTCTGAGCCTCTACCACCTGAGTGTTGGATTACAGGAATGTGCTGCTACCCAGTTTCTGCAGTACTGGGAATCAAATCAAGGACTTTGGCATGTACTCTAGCAACTGAGCTACATATCCAGCCCTTGAATTAATTAACTATTTACTTACTTTTTTTTTTTTTTTTTTTTTTGAGACAGAGTTTCGCTGTGTAGCCCATGCCCAGCTCACTTATATTTATGTTTTAACTAATCCACAGAGACTGGAATACCACCCTTGGAGTAGTCCAGGACTGTGAAGTACCTTCCAAGGCTGGAGTACTACAAACCCATTCTGAGCCTAGCAGGTTCACAGCCCATGTACTTGGTGGAAGAACAGCACACCCTGAGGTCCCATCTTCCTGTGACGATAGTGACGAGTCTTGGGGCATAAAGTGTAGGGTGCAAGTGCAGCCACCCCCCACTCTCAAACTGGGTTATTCCTTCTACCGTTTCTCTCTCTCCAGGGCCTTGTGTCCTTTCTCTGTTCTACTGCTGAGAGTTCCACCTCACTTCACAGAGGCAGACAACTTTCCTGAACACATGGGGGCAGGCTCCTCCCCTATGAGGGCACCAGCGGGTGGGTTGAGTGGGGAGCCGGGACAAGCTGGGAGGGCACATTTTCCAGGAGAGCTGGGGGAGGGGACCTGGAAAGGAGAGCTCCAAATGCTGCCTAGGGCTGGTGTGCTGGAAGAAACCCTTGGTTTAGGAGGCCACTGGTATGTGGAGGTGCTGTGTGCTTGTCTGCTTCCTGTGCTCCCTGAGGCCTCTGGTCAATTCCAGTTTGTGGCCCGAGGTCACCCATAGCCAACTCCCCTTTTCTTTTTGGAAAGATGTCCAAATGAGGCTGGGGCAGTCCTAACCTAGGTAACCCACTTACCTATTCCTCCCTGGAGACCCTACCCTCATGACATAGATAGGTATTTTGGCCATTTTCTGCCCAGAATAAAAGCTTACTCTTCCAAGCAGTGGTGGTGGTGGCCTTTAATCCCAGCATTTGGGAGGCAGAGGCAAACAGATCTCTGAGTTCGAGCCAGCCTGTCTCAAAAAAGAAGAAGAAGGAGGAGGAGGTAGAGGAGGAGGAGGAGGAGGAGGAGGAGGAGGAGGAGGAGGAGGAGGAGGAGGAGGAGGAGGAAGAAGAGGAAGAAGAAGAAGAAGAAGAAGAAGAAGAAGAAGAAGAAGAAGAAGAAGAAGAAGAAGAAGAAGAAGAAGAAGAAGAAGAAGAAGAAGAAGAAGAAGAAGAAGAAGGAGAAGAAAAGACAGACAGACAGACTGGGAGACTGGGAGGGGGAGAAAGACAGACTTAATCCTTTCAGCTGGTAGATGTGGAACTAGGTCTGGAGCCCTCTGTAGTCAGCAGCCTTGTCCATTTTCCTCATGGGTGGGCCTTGTTGGCCCCTCTTCTGGCCACTGAGGCTAGCCTTCAGTGTCTCTATCCAGAATACTCGAGGTCTGCAGAGACTCAAGCTGTTGAGCACCATGGCAGCACATCCCCTGAGCCGCTTCAACCGTGGGGTGGACATGTCATGTGGCTCACAGACTCAGGGTTACACAGCTCTCTGACTCATCTAGGAGGTACCACCCCTCCGCTGCAGGTTGTTGCTGGGGAAGTGGGGTCTGGGCTGTGCCAACGCATGTGTCCCTGGCAAGTGGACACTTTGGAGCTTCACCTGGTCCTCAAAGAGGGCACTACTTCCCCTCACAAACTCATGTCTAGCCCAGCTGGTCATTTCAAGACTCTCCTGAAGGCTTAGACCCTTAGCGGTCAGAAGTCGAGCTCGTTCCTGCAGTCTTGGAGAGAGGGCAGGTCCTCGATTCTGCAGGTCAGTGGCCATCCTTTTACTTTGGAACATGTTGTTGGGAACTCAACTTCAAAGACAAGCTTGACCCTAGAGTGGAGACTGGGCATAGGTAGCTGCCAGGAATGTGGTCGACTCCACAACAGGGAAGGCACTCAGAGCAGAGAGCCCCATCTCAAGCCTGTCTCAGCCTTTTCCTCCACATGGAGCTCACAATACCTGGACTGGGAGTAGCTGCAAGACCAGACTGAATGGAGGGGTGGGGACCAACTGTCTCGGTTTGTCCGACTGGCGTAGGGCATCTCAGGATGTCAGCCTTTGAGCTGAGGCGATGGCTGTGCACACCTTCCTCGCTGGCATTCAGGAGGTAGAGGCTAGAGATGCAAGAAGGTCAAGGCCATCCTCAGCTACTTAGAATGCAAGGTCAGCCTGGGCTGACCAACTCAAAAAAACAACAAACAAGGGACTGGAGAAGTGCTCAGTGGCTGAGAGCACTGGCTGTTCCAAATGATTCAGGTTTGATTCCCAGAATCCACATGGTGGTTCACAGCCATCTGTAACTCCAGTTCCGGGGGATCTGAAGCCCTCTGCTAGCCTCAAGGCCTGCATGTGGTGTACATGCAGGCAAAACATGCAACCAAAAAAATAAATATTTTTTTTTAAACAAAGGCTGAGGCGGCTGACATGGTGAGGGAGGGTGTGCAGCTGCAGGGGACCAGGCAGCACAAAGCGGGAGGTGTCTGCAGAGAACAGGGCCACATGGATGTGCTGGTGAAGGGCAGGTGTTGCTCAGTGCTCCACACTGCTGGGAATGGTCACAAATATTTTCTCCATGTCAAAGATCACAAACTCATTAACCTAAGGCATAACTACTGACAAGGTAAAAGTCTATCCTGGGGAGAGCCAGTGTTTACTAAGGCTAAGCTCTGGTGCTGGACGGAAGAGCCTTTCCAGCCTAATTCCTAGCACACAGGCTCCGCAGTGACTCCCCCAGTTCACCATACCCTAGAGGCTTTTCCTCTTCTCAACAACCTTGCCTTATCCGGTCTGTACAGAATGATTGCAGCAGGGGTGCAGCTCTGGTGACCAGAGCAGGACTTTTGCCACTGGTCCTCCAGCACCTTGCTTGGGGTCAGACATGGCTCTGCCATCCTGAGCCAACTCCACCCCTTAAAAGAGCTGTTGAGATATACGTTGTACCTAAACTTATGCAATAGCTACAAACCGAGGCCTTTCCAGATACAGGAACTGGAAATGGCATCCCAGCAAAAGAGCTTTGTGTTAGTCAACCAAGGAGGCCTCACCACGCGAGGAGACCCCAGTCAAAGGGCTCATCTGTCCTCTGCTGGGCAGGGACTGCTGTGAAAAGCCCTTTAGAGACCTCTAGGACCATAGCCAGCATTGGGTTGTTGGTGGTGTATACTCAGAGAACTGGACAGACCCTAGGGACACTAAGCAGCCCTGGGTGCGGCCCCACCTCTCAGACTCCCCGAGAAGAACAAGTCCGCTCTTCAAGGCTGTCTGAAGTTGCCCTGACAGCTACAGACAGCAGCGTAGACGTGTTCACAGCCAGTGCCCTCTGCCTGTCAGTGTCGGCTTTTCCTTCTGCAGTTGCTCTGAGTGAAAAGCAAGGTCCCTGTCAGAGGCTGGCTGATTTCAAAACAACAGCTGGAAATGGATTTCACAGCTACTCGTGTAGCCAATGAAATGGAGGGGACCAATCCAGCAGAAGTGGGCCAGGCTGTGTTCCTAGAGTGATGGCCAGTTCCCGCCACTTGTGGCCTTGAAGTAATCTAGGCCACAAATTCCAGTTTTCCAAGGTAAGTCAGAAGTGAGGCTTTTTACATGAAACCTCTTGACTTTAAAATGTTGGCATGGTTAACAAAACAGGCAATAGTGCGAGTCCATCACAAGGTTTATAAGCCGGAGATAACTGTCCTCCAGTCTCACACAAAGAGGACAGCACCTGTCAAAGCTGAGTTTTCCCTCATTCCTGTGTGTTGAAGTGTCTTCTGGGAATCACACATACAGAGCTTGAAACACACTCTGTAAATGGCTTTTTGCTTTGTTTTGTTTTGAAGACAGTCTGCCCTGGCTGTCCTGGGTCAACAGAACTCACTCTGTATACCAGGCTGGCCTCGAATTCACAGCAAGCCACCTGCCTCTGCCACCCGAGTGCTGGGATTAAAGGTGTGCGCCAGCACCCCCTCTACCTGCAAATGTCATCTTTAAAGAGTAGAAGAGAACTCCAATCATGGGCAAGCGGGACACGATCAGCTTTAACAGGGGCTTTTGTGGCTATTGTGAGATAGGGTCTCCTGCATACCAGGCTTGCTTTCAGAGTTTCTGACCCTCCTGTTATGCATTCTGGAGCTGGAAGATTACAGGTGTGTGCTATCACACCTGAGAGTTTAGGCAGTGCCAGGGACCACCAGCAGGGCTTCATGTGTGCCAGACAAGTGTAAGCCCGCAGCTGGTGCTCAGGCTGCTCCTAGGAAGGCTTGAGAGGAAGCACTGCCAAGGATGGCTTAAACCTCTGAACACACAGGTCGTTGCTCTTCTGCCTCTCAGCTTCCTGGTGAGGGTCCTGGGGTTGTGTTAGGAGGTATCATCAGCCACACCTGGCCCTCTCAAGTTAGTTGTAACCACTGTGAGTTTTCATCAGCACTAGGAAATGAATTCCTAGGTCCCACCTGCAGGAGGGCTCCAGCATACAAAGTAGCAGTCTAGGACCCTCATCCAGGGCAGTTCTAGGAAGCCTGGAACCTAGGCTGTTTAGCAAACACTTAAAATGGATTTTTCAAAAAATGGTTCACATCTGTAATCTCAGCATTTAGGTGAGTTCGAGGCTAGTTTGAACCACACAATAAGACCCTCCCTCAAAACAAAACCACACGCAAGTTCTCAAAAAATTCAAGCACTCAAACTACCCTCATCCTTCAAGTTTGGAGCTCAGGCGTCAGATGGCTGTGTGCTTTAGCTGCTGCATCAGAACTGCCTGGTAGAGGGAGCTGTGTATTTTTAGTAACAGCTTTGAAGTATAACTGGCACACCAGAGAGCTCACCTTTTCCAAGTGTAAACTAAATGGCTTTAAGTGTAAGCAGAGGGATGGATCACTGTCTGCCTGTTACTCTCTCCCCAGCACTGATGCAGATGGGTTGGAAAGCTGGGGTCTGTCTAGGCAGCCAGGCATGTGAACCATGTGACCAGCAGCCACCATCCCCGGAGAGGGCACCAGCGGTGTCTACAGAGGGCTTTGATCACCACAGTTGGGATGGGCGCTACTCGATCTAGTGGGTAGGCTTCCAGAATGCTGGGCATCGTGGGGACACTGTCTGTCTAGACGCTAACAGTGCTGAGGCTAGAAAATCCCTTCTGCTTTAGTGGGTGTAACCAACTTGAGATCCCCAGCTCCAACTCTCAGCAGCCTCCCCAAACTGCTAGGCCATGTCAGCCTCAGGTCCAGTTTATTGGATGTCTTACGGGGTACTTCTTAAAACTTCAGCGTCAGCCAGGTGGCGGCGGTGGCATACACCTTGGTGGAGTTTGAGGTCTGGTCCACATACAGAGTGAGCTCCAGGACAGCCAGGGCTACACAGAGAAACCCTGTCTTGAAAAGCAAAACCAAACCGAACTACCTCTCAGGGTCTATTTAGTAACAGGAGGACCTGTTAGAATCTGACTTGGGGTATGGGCTGGACACTAAGGCCCTATGTAGCCAACAAGATCCAGGGTGATACTGCTGTCCACTTTGCATGAAACACTATTTTAAGCAGGGTGGGTATGGTCCATCCAGGGGCGGCTGACACTAGGCTGGGCGATGCCGCAGGTCTTTAATCCCAGTACTCAGGAGGCAGAGGCAGGTAGATCTGGGAGTTCGAGGCCAGCATGGTCTACAATCGCTAGTTAGTTCCAGAACAAGCTCAAAAAGAAAAACCCACAAAACAAAAACCTCACACTAGACCACACATGGCCCACATGACAGGTGACCCCCAAAGAGATCCTCTAGAAACAATCACCCACCATCCCTGGATGGAGGAACTGTAGAGTAAAACTCACTTTCCTTTCCCTCCTGCTTCAATTCTCTCCCTCCAGATAAGCATCCAGGTTGGGATGGGAGACCCACCAAGCCCTGGAGTTGGCAGTCCCAGCAGACAGGTATAAGCCCTGCTCAAAGCCGAGCTGAGATCCACCATTTCATCAGGAAAAGGGATACAGAAGAGGTGAGAGTCTGG